CTGCTGGATAAGATTTTTTTTCCTTTTTTTTTTTCTGGCCCAAAAAGCCTAAGCAAATTCTATTTCTTCTATTTACTTTATAACACAATTAATCTTTTGAAACATAACTATGAGGTTTGACCTAAATTGTAATAAAAAAAATTAAGACTGAAATGTAATATTAGTCATAATTTGAAAACTAAATTGAATATTTTGCTTTATATAAAAAAATGTTAAAATAATAATCTATATATATATATATATGTATATAAGAAGGAATGTATGTTAAAGAAGAAGTTGACATGTAACATTCTGATATATTAATATGTGGTTATACTAATTCTAAATTTTTAAAATTTTAATTCTATTAAATAACACATTTAAGTTACATAAAAGCATGACATTCTAATGTGTTAATTACATGATGGAATTACAAAATTAATTTCATATTATTTTAATTTTATTAAAATAAATAACTGCTGAATTAAATAATTTTATCGACTTTTGAATTAGTTTATCTTTACTAAAAGCTTACAAGACAACCAATAAAGAATACTTCTAACTTCAATATTTTAAATTTAATATAATAATAAGTCCTTATGTAACACCCAAATTTTTTATTTTATTATTATTGGAATTATTTTGATTTTATTTTATTTTAATAATTAATTTATTAGGTAATAATTATGTAGTTTTAATTTAATTTAATTTAATTTAATAGAAATAAAAATAATAATATGATAAAAAGGAATAAAATTATTTTTTAGATTTAATTGAAAATGATTTTGAAAAAAAAATGGTGAAAATTTAGATTCTGGAGATGTTTTTGAAAAGAAAATCGAAAATTGGGGGTCAAAACGCAATTTAAAAAAAATTGCGGCACGTCAGCAGCCTGGTTAGCAGCTCCGGCCAACCCAAACACGCCGCGTGGCAGAGACACTGATGCGGGAAGGCCATGGGGAACGGGCTACGTGGGCGATCCGCGTGTGCGTGATCGGACGGCTGAGATCCGTTCCCGCGCGCACGGACAGCCCAGATCAAACGCGCGCACGGACGACCCAGATTGCACGCGTGCGGACGGCTAAGATTGAATCACGCACGGACGGTCCAGATCACATCGCGATGGACGGTCCAGATTCATTTTCAATTTAATCACCATCGGACGGTCCAAATTAAATCGTTATGGACGGCTCAGATTAAAAAGGGAGAGTTATAAATAATCTCATCCACAACCAACCCCAAACCCTAGCAGCCAGAGCCCTCGCTGGAGAAGACAGCTCAGCCACCGGAGGAACCGACCGCCGCCACCCTCCGCCGCACCGGGGAACTTTTCGGCCGCCAAACGAGGTAAAATTTCTCCAATTGGCTCGAATTTTGATGCTAAACCCCCCTGTGGCTAAATCAGAGCCAAACCACCGGCCAATTGGCTGAAAAATGCCCCCAAAGTCCAACGGCGCCATCGCGAGTTTTCTCAATTTTTGCCTCCGATGAGGCCCTTCCCACTGTGACCATCGTCCTTTCCTCTACAGGTTGACCGGAGTAAAACACCAAATCGCGACTCGCACCGAAGGAGCCGCCGCACTTGAGAGCTCCGCTGCCAGTAAGTCTCCGCTTTTTGAGTTTTTTCGGCCCACCGAGGGCCTTATGTGTGTTTTATCACAGGAACTAATGCAAGTTTGGCCAAATTTAGCCGAAAACGACCGAAAATGACCAACTCGAGGCGGATCGCTGCCGCTTGCGGTGGCGCCGTCGCCGGAGCACGGTGGAGTCGCCGTGCCAGAATTTTGAAATTGGCCGAATAGGCCCTGGGACTGATTTGGGATTTTTGGGGACATGTGCATGTACCGGAAGTGTGTTTCAGTTTCCGGAGAAAAATTCAGGGAATCTAGGGACTGCCTCTAAGCGCAGTGAGAACCTGATTTCAGACTCCAAAACAAGTAAGGATCCCTTACTCTATTTCCTATCACAGTATTAAAGCTTAATAAATAATAAAACGGTATTTTATGAATTAATAGATATGTATAATTAATTAAGATTGCTAATGAGGCCCGAACCTGATGTATTTGTCGGTCTGTTCCTGTTGATGTATTTTACAGTCTAAATACAGTATAGTATTTGATGGTTTATTCTGTGGTCTCGTATGCATGAATCACTGTTTAATCTATTATGATTTGAATTATTGTGAACTTGATGTTGTGTTGCCTTGTTTGGTGTGCGTTACTGGTTTATGTATTTATGTTGATTGGGTAATTGAGACTAAGAAAAATAGAAAGGGTATTTGAATTTATAAATGGATAAGTCGACAGCTTCACTAGATATCCTGGGAGACGGTGGACGGACCGGGTCCATAGGGAACCTTATCGGGAACAAGATCTCTCATATCGGACGGGGTATGGAGATTTTAAATATTTTGACGCTCATACCGGATGAGGTATGGGGACGGCCTGCTTCACCCTCATATCGACCGGAGTATTGAGGTTTATGGTTTTGGCGCTCATACCGGACGGGGTATGGGGACAGCCCTAGAATTAAGGTGAATGGTTCACGTATAGCGGGAACCCCTATGGATCCCCATAGATACTAGTAGACTGATAAAAGAGAAAATTTATTGTCTGATGATTGAAATACAAGAGTATGATATGTGTTATGTTACAGAGTGTGCATGATCTTATGATGTTTATAATGTTATTGTTTTCATAAGTTGTTTTCATGAATCTCACCGAGGTAAGTGGACAGTAAAGAATTTTATTATTGATAAATGAATTTGTTATAAATTATGCTCTATTGGTCGTTTTTGTTTTCTACCAACCTTTACTTCTGTGACAGTAAGATGTGTGACATCTTTACTGGGCTAGTATAGCTCATTCCTTTCTTAACCATTTCAGATCAGGAGGACTTGGTTCCCGAGCCCGTCCTGCAGGAAGACGGCGAGTAGATACCTAAAGATTTTATAGTTTTCCTTGTAGTATTCATTTCTAGTATTTATTTTAGTTAGCTTATTCTTTCATACGTTTAATATGTTTTGGTTATTGTGTAAGGGATGTTAATCAAAATATTTCATTTCGCTTCCGCACTTAGAATTTTTATATATGTGTTTCCTTTTAATTTCTGGGACCGTTATAGTTGGTATCAGAGCTGCATTCCTCGAACTCGTCCCTTACACAATAATATTTAGAGAAATACCAACCAATTAATCGTTACTCAACCATTCCTTGTGAAATGCAGGTGTAGAGAGATGAGGAGAGGAAGACCCTCACTAAATCGAGCAGCCCGGGATGATTCGCATCGAGAAGATGTAGACAGAATATTTGAGATGCTAGAAAGGATCATTGCTGCCCCGCAAGGCCGAGAGGAGAGAAGGGAGTTACCCAACCCTCCCCCACTACCATAGGTTGAGCCATCGCTACAGCAAGCGGATCCCGAGCCACCCCAGCACGAGCCTGCTTCTCCACAGTACCCCCCGGCACCACCGTCACAGTATAATCCGATGCCCCAGCCACAGTACTGCCCGGCACTACCACAGTATAATCCAGTGCCCCCATTATATCAGCAAGTGCCACCACAGGGCCCCCCAGTCTATCCTCCGCCCGACCCAGTCCCTCTTCCACGGGACCCAGCTCCT